ATCTATGGCTTCTTTGAACGTAGTTCCTAAGAACAAGATGTTGGTTGAAGTCAGATTGATGAGTTCGTTTGACATCGTCATTAGGTTTGGCCCTGAATGAAGCACCGTTTTTCTCGTCCGACCACGGTAGCATTTGGCCGCCGGTCCCCGATAATTGGACCGAATGTTTTCGCTCGCCCGGTCTAATGGCAGGCCGTTTTGTTTACCGAAACAGTCATTGAGCCGTTTGCGTTTGTCCCATGAACCGTTCGAACCGTATTTTTAGTATAAGCTTTCCGTTTTTTCTTCTTCTGCATATACAATCAATAAAGAATCTAAGCGGGAAATAAACGATCATTGCAATGTGTGCCTAAAGATTTAAATTTGGTTCTGTGTTTATTTTTTATCCGAAGGGTCGCGTACAGTCGGTGGCTATGCTATAGATTTCGGTGTCCATCGATGCGTCACTTCGGCCGTTCGGATAGATTGATCACCGCGTTGAATGACGTCCACGTTCCGGCTACCTCCTGCCCGACCCGACTCGACCCCTGCCCGCTCCCTCTATACACTCACGTCTGAATATCTAAAAACCTTAATTTCCAGTAAATCATTCGAAATACGACGCGGAATTTACATTGTCTCGACCGTGATAAATACGCTCATTACTTTTACAGTATTTATTAAAGTAAATAAATATTTTTGGGCCGACTTACACAATTATCCTAATGAATCCGACGTCAAATAACTTTTTCAAGCTCGGTTGTCACAAAAATAAACGACATCGGTTTTTATTTAAGATCAAGATAACGCGGCGCTCACCTTCTGTTTGCTTTTGTTTTTATTCGTTCCCGATGCCGCCAACGCTATACGTTTGGATTTCAAGATTATTTTCGACATTTATTGTTTAACTTGCGAATCGCAAATGACAATAGCTGTCTTTTTTTTTTTAAATAAGAAATGTGATATTTTTTTATGTTAAAATACTCCTGACGCTTGAACGTGAATGCAATCGAGCGCCATTGGAGCGTGTTTTGTGGGAAAAAAAAATCTCAACGACCGCTTACGTTACAAATGACACAGTAAATCCATTTCTAGTGCAGAGGCGATGCCTGCGGTAGAATTGTCAGTGGCATTTTCAAAGAATTATTATCACATGACATCCTTTGTCGCCGGGTCGTCCACGTAAAATCAAAAAATGAAAATTTCGAATGTTCTTTGTGTGTTTTTTCGTTAAACTTATAACTAAGTTTATTTAAAAGCGTACGTAGTTAGTTTTCACGAAAAGGATAACAACAAAATCCGGTTAAAAATAAAGCGGTTAAAAGTCACGTTGTCGGTTGGCTATCAGCATTCAACGGGATATAAGGAAGCAAGAGTCGGACGCCTATGACATTATTAAACTCAGGCGCATCTCTGCTCGGGTGAAGCTAAAAACTACGTGACCGCGTTCCACAATAGGACCTTCCTCCTTGAAAAATCATCCACCCCGAAATTCAGAGCGTATTCTGAACGAATAAAGAAAAAATAACGGAAAAGTCCGCGTGGGCCACTTCGTTGAGTGTCCCGAATAAATTATGCTGATGAAACTTTAAGTTCGGGTGTTATACGGTGTGTGCCGCTACTCGTTTTAACACTGATTTGATATAAAATTCGAAAGTTCTGGGTTAGGTTCATAGAATAATACGGCATCGTGTGCTTCCATTTTATTATGAATTATCTTATTCTTAATTAGATAAGCTTACGGTCCATCTGATGTTTTGCGGCTATCGGAGCTTAATTACGCAACTGCACAATATATTTAGTACTAGCAACCCGCCTTCGCTTCGCTTCGGAAACTGTAATTTATTATTGATTTCTCCACTATTTAATGGATGTTATTATACATATAAACCTTCCTCTTCAATCACTCTATCTATTAAAAAAACCGCATCATAATCCGTTGCGCAGTTTTAAAGATTTAAGGATACATAGGGATATAGGGACAGAGAAAGCGACTTTGTTTTATACTATGTAGTGATAAATCATTTTTACTGTATTTTTTTTGTATTTTATATTATGTTAGGTCTTATAAAAGTCCTTAATTGGAGTTAATTTTTTCAGATTTTAGATAAATAATCTTAATTTCTTTTCAAACGTGAAGGTTTGAATAGTAGTGCATGTCATATTGATAAAAATAAGAAATCCCACACATCCGCTGATTTGCTTTTTATTTATTAATAGCTGACCCGGCAGACTTCGTAGTACCTCAATCGATAGCTAAAAGACATAAACTTTTATATAAAATAAGCTTAAAATAAACAAAAGGAATCCGTCCGACGGGGGACACATCAAAGGGAATACAAAATTATTATTTTTATTTAATTCCGAGCATTTTCATATTTATCTACCCTTTAAACTTTTTTTTTTTTTTTTTTTTATGGTTGAAGGATTACTGGTGGCCCGGAGGCCTTTCCAGTTTCACCAGGACAGGTGGGCGAGCAAAGGCTCAGCCAGGAGGGGTGGGATTTGCTAATAGCTACCCGAGTGCCTCCGAAGGAGACCTAACAGCTCAAGAGTAGCTGCTCTGGACTTTCACAAATAATTCAAGAACAAAATTAGTCAAATCGGTCCAGCCGTTCTCGAGTATTAGCGATACTAACGAACAGCAATTCATTTTTGTATATGTATATAGATATTCAGTTTCAAAAAGTTTAGTCATCTAAATATTCTGCAAGAAAATGAAAAAAGAATCTTAAATATGAAATATTTAATACCATGCTGTTTTTTAGTACATTAAATTTTGTACGTTTGCATTTGAAATGATTTTAATTAGAATAGTTTTCATGAATGATATAGAAAATTGAAGCAGGAAACTTAATTAAGTTTAATAGAGCTATTCACGGTCATTAACCCCGGTCGTTGGCATTGCGCCCTGTGGAATGAAACTGAAGCCGCATTAATTCAAGTGCAACACGAAAAATGCATTAAGCCCGGGATAGGCGATCCATCATAGTCCTGAAATATCTCTTAGGGCAACTAGGAAAAAAACTTAATTGTTCCATCGTAGTGTTCACAGTTTACCTACATACACGCACATATCGTCAATTCGCATTAAAAGTGTACAATTTCTTAAAATATTCGAAATTGAGTTAATATGCGAAATCATTTGGTATCACCGGTATATTTTTCTCATAAATACTGTCAAAAGAGCGTAGTTTAGTTTTAGATTTTTTTTTAGTTTACCTATGTTTTGAATATTATTAAAAAAGTTATTATAATACATAATGTTATCTTACTTTAAAAGATGTTACTGGTACTTTAAAGAAGTTAATGTAACTGGTAAAAAAAAAAAAAAAAAGTTGCAAAGATCATTAATATTAACACTATCACACGATAAACCTTTAAAACACTCTCCTGTAAAATTAGTAAGTTTTGAGATTGTACAGTTTAAATGCGAGAAGACGATAATATGTATGTACGTGTTATGTGGATAAGCTATTAAATGCATATGACAGCTTAAAGTTGTTTTTGCTGAAAAATTTATTTCTAAATATTACATTTTATTTTATTGCTTAGATGGGTGGATGAGCTCACAGCCCACCTGGTGTTAAGTGGTTACTGGAGCCCGTAGACATCCACGACGTAAATGCGCCAGCCACCTTGAGATATAAGTTCTAAGGTCTCAGGTATAGTTACAACGGCTGCCCCACCCTTCAAACCGAAGCGCATTACTGCTTCACGGCAGAAATAGGTAGGGTGGTGGTACCCACCCGCGCAGACTCACAAGAGGTCCCACCACCAGTAATAAACTTGTATAAAGATAGTTTGAATGTTTGTAGCATATACCTTTATTGAAATGTAGAAAATATACCATTAACGACGACCAGATCCACGTTGATGACCACGAAAACTGTCGTCTTAGAATTGTGATTTAAAGCAGTTTTTATTATATCTACGACTCGCGTTATCTAAAAAAGTCAAGTACATTATATCTACTTTTACGGATTCATACATATCGTTTTTATTCTGTTAATGGTTTTTGGTGGTAGGACCTCTTGTGAGTCCGCACGGGTAGGTACCACCACCCCGCCTATTTCTGTCGTAAAGCTGTAATGCGTTTCGGTTTATAGGGTGGGGCAGCCGTTGTAACTATACGGAGACCTTAGAACTATATCTCAAGGTGTGTGGCGCATTTACGTTGTAGATGTCTATGGGCTCCAGTAAACACCTAACACCAGGTGGGCTGTGAGCTCGTCCACCCATTTAAGTATTAAAAAGAAAAAAGTATTCGTAGTACATTTCATTTTGTGCAACATAAGCTTAATTATATTCGGAGAGAATCGATTACGTTGCTATTAGTGTTCGCTCTTTCAATGTTTATTAATAATAATTATTAAATGTTTTCATGCATTATGTTACAGTGACATAACATACATTTTTTTAATTCATCTGAGTAGTTTAATTACGCCTTAAGCTTAGCACACTGTACTGTATAGTAGGTGGAAAAAAAAGGAGACAAGTTTTAATAAGGGCATTTATTTTATTATTACATTTATTCATAAATTACACATTTATTGTCAAGTCAACGTAACATTAGATCAAGGTATTGAGTAAAACACGAAACAATGACATTTTATAATTGAAGTTCTAAAACATTAATCATCTTAAGCTAATCAGTTAAATACACACACATGTATTTAAATCTAAAATTTAACCTCTAAAATAATTTACGACATAAAGAATTGAAGGTTTATAGTTTTATATAACACCCGATTTCATTGTCACAGGTACTTAGAATCTAATAGAGAAACGAAGAGACACAGTAATGATTTTGTATTAAAATTTACCAACATTCTATGAGTCAAATAGATAAATACTATATATCTATATTAGTACTGTATTTTAGATGCGACACTAAAGATTTCTGTTAGTTTGGAGGCTGCGAATTACTTTATAGACCAACCTAAAAATTTAACATAATTATTTGTAAAGTAAGTTACATACTAATAGTTAAAATTTTGATTTCTTCTATTAGCTTTCTGAACACTCAAAATATTATCTTTATTAATTGTATGTAGTCGATAGATTCAATCCAAAACATTATTAGAGTTCCATACGAAGTTAAGTTGAAAAATTAGAAGGTTAGATATCTTAGTAGAGCGATCACTAGCGCGTATATTTGCGGTGGAAGTTCTCTCGTGAGGTGGTGGTACTGAGCATGAGAAGCGGCGGGACGAGTTCCAGTTGGGGAGCTCCTAGCTCTCTGCCATGCAGCACCGGACACCATAGGTTCTTCAGCTCCAAAACCATTCATGCTCAACTCCAACCCTATTTGAAAAAAAAAAAACAGTTTCGAATAATCTGTGCATAGATAAATAAGCCGACGTCAGAGAAGTTATTTTATTTTTTGTTGTCTCTGGTTCTTCGAATTGTGTGTGTGTGTAAAAAGAAAACATGGTGTTGTTAATCAACATGATCTCTTGTTTTCTTTATTGCGATCCGAAATTAATGATGTTCGTGTCTTGTTTCAAAGGTCGAAGTCCGGATAGTTACAGGGAAAGCCGTCAGGACCATTTCAGTGTGCAGTTCTTGCTCAATTACGCCAATTGAATCATTCATTTAAATGAACCTTTTACAAAGATTGATTAAGAACAATCGCTTTTATCAAGGATTTTTAGCATAATAGACGACATTCTAGTTTTAAATTTTAAATTGTAATAAAACAAAAAAAAAGAAAATTGTTTTAAAATCTAGAAGGAACTACAATTCGTTTTATTCAATAGATTTTTACATCGACCGCAGTTTGAATTTATGTTCTGATTGGTGTTCTAATATAGTTTGAATATAGAAATTGTCAAGTAAGTAACATATTTTATGAACAAGCAAATTCCTAAAAATAGTAATCCTAAATTCGAAATTCGCATTTTTCTTTTGTATCAGGAGCAATAATGGAAGACAGTTCTCAACGTCCCAGAACTTTTCTTAGCCAATCCGGAGATTTTACGATGGCTTGACTTCAATGGTGTCGCAGACAAGTTACCCACCCTGGTAATGTTGAAGCATGTTGAGACCACAACATAAATGCTAACCTTCTTTGAGACAAAAACTCGATGTTTCAAACGTATCGTTTTTTAGAATAGTCATTCCACCTTTCAAACTGAAATGCATGGTGGCATCATGAAGATAGCGATCATAGGATAACTATGTATTAAAGTATATATTGATATTGACAATAACAATATGATACTTCAATAAGAGAACGCTGCTACCCATTCTCTGGTGAATTATTTTGTTATCTTCACGATACCTATGAGAGGAGACGAGATGTTGCTATTCTAGGCTGTACACATAGCTAATAAATCGAACTACTCACTGTGTAAGCTGACTTGACTCTCCATCTTCCCAAGCGCATTAACCGAAGCACAAACATATGTTCCATAATCACTAGGAGCTAGCGATTTGATAGTCAAATTCATCCATAATGAGTATTCGTTGACAATGGCCTCTTTGACTCGCAACTTCGGATTCTCTGCCAGTTTGTCACTAAGTAACGCTGCAAAGAAAAACTGGGTCAATAACGATACACAATCGAGAAAATAAACGTTTTACGTTCGTTTATTTTCTTAGTAATTGACTTGTTGGCGGGTTTATTACCAAAGGTTTTACGTAATGAGATTTAATTTATGAGTTTTAATATATTCCTTTAAGTGAACGAGTATAAAGTTCTGTTCACATGCCTTTTATTATTAAAAATAAATAAATAATAAATAAATAAATATTTACTAACAATCACGCCACGTTAACTGGTCCCGTGGTAAGTTCGTAAAGAACTTGTGTTACAGGTACCAGATAACGGAAATAAATGTAAGATTTTTTATTATACACATACATATATTTAATATACATCCATAACCCTGGAAAAGACATGAAAAGACATTTATATTTACCATACAAATATCTTCCCTTGGCGGGATTCGAACCCGCGACCCCCTTGTGTAGTGACCATGTCACTTACCACTACACCGGACGGCCGTAGTGTAGTGTTTAAGCATTCCAAGATTTAATCGTTTAAAATAATATACTATATATATATAATATACGTTAGCTATACCTTAGAACTCATATCTCAAGGTGGGTGGCGGCATTTACGTTATAGATGTCTATGGGCTTCCACGTAACACTACGTGGGCTGTGAGCTCGTCTACCCATCTATGCAATGAAAAATAAATAAAAAAGGTGACGACTTAAGCTTGAAAATATACAGGAGATGTTAATGACTGAATTTATTTGAAAAACTTTTCTCACTTCAGCATTAAGCCAGTATGTAATTGTCATAATTAAGGTGGGCGACAAAAAATATTGCAAGCTTAAGGGTTTTATTTCTTTCAGTTTTTTTTTAATTATTGATGTATCATACTCACAACAAGATTATAAAAATTCAAGACGTATATCGGTAACAGGAAAAAGTTCCTAAATTAATCGTCCGATTTTTATTTCGGGTCATTAAACCCAAAACTGGTTTTGAATTAAACTGTATCTCATCTCGTACCAGTTTACCTCTGCATAATTATTGCATGTCCTTCCTTTTTTATGGTTCCATAGTCAAACGGCACATACCTGAACGCTTAAGATTTTGACCACAACAATTTTTATTTGGGGACCTTACTACTATAACTATAGGACACATTATATATGATGTAGTAAAGTATATAGATAATTGATGCAGGAAATTACGTCCTACTGGTGGTAGGACCTCTTGTGAGTCCGCGCGGGTAGGTACCACCACCCTGCCTATTTCTGCCGTGAAGCAGTAACGCGTTTCGGTTTGAAGGGTGGGGCAGCCGTTGTAACTATACTGAGACCTTAGAACTTATATCTCAAGGTGGGTGACGTATTTACGGTTGTAGATGTCTATGGGCTCCAGTAACCACTTAACACCAGGGGGGTTTTAGGTCGTCCACCCATCAGAGCAATAAAAAAAGTATATTTATTATTAAAAAATTTCATATATTAGTAAAAATTCCAAACAAAAAAGTGTACTATAAAAAAAACCAGTGCTCATTAATGTGTTCGCCATTGTTAAATTTAAAATAATATAATGATCATAATAATATTGAGATTTTTCTATGAAGCGTCGTTCTTTAACATTTCAACGGTAGGGTGCAAAATTCCAAAAATAACAGGCAATTTGAAACGTAATTTGCTTAACCAACGGCTTGCACAATTCTAATTGAAAAGAGTCTTATTTTCCAAATGTACAAGGTACAAATATATGGATATGACAAATGCAGGTTATTGTGAAATACGAGTTGCGCCGCAGTAGCAATGCCACACGAACGGCTTATAACATTAATTATATATACGGAGTGAGGACAATAGACCAACGACCGATTAGCCCACTGAGTTTCTCGCCGGATCTTCTCAGTGGGTCGCGTTTCCGATCCGGTGGTAGGTTCTGCGAAGCACTGCTCTTGCTAGGGTCAGTGTTAGCATCACTCCGGTTTGAGCTCCGTAAGCTCACCTACTAGTTAAGGTTACGATGAAATATCCTCTCAAGGCTCTCAGCGTAGGTATGAAAAAGAAAAAAAAAACAACCGACTTGTTATTGGTATGAAGGCTTCCGACATTTAAATGATGATCTTAAAAATGAACCCCTTAGTCACCAGGAAGCTAAAGTCAACAACGGCAAATTAAAGGCGATGTTAGAAGCTGATGGTACTCAATTTCATTGCCCAGTTAGAAGCAGCTTTCAACGTTAGCATCAAAACAATATTGGTCCATTTACGATAAATTACCAAGGTAAAAAAACTTGATTAGTGGGTGCCGCAAGAACTGAATAATCACCAGCGCGACGAAATGCGTAAATGTATGCCTTGCGTTGCTTGACAAATATAATAACGAAGAGATTTGGACGATAAAACTGGATTTTTTTTGAAAATCGTACGGTCTCCACGTTGGATAGACCCTGGTTCACCATCCAGGCAGTCTTTCAAGCGAAAACTTATCCCTAAAAAGTCAAGGTCACTATTTGATGGTTTAGGACAAGTATAATTCTTCATAGCTTCTTACTAAAAGGCACAAACATTACTATCTATCTGTAAGGTGAAGAACTGGACACAATTATGGAGAAGCTCTGGCCAGTCTTGGTTAATCACTCGTCCGCACTACGCTTACATGACCACACTCGACCTCATACGCCACAATAGACAGTATCTAAGGCAAAACATCTAGTGTTGGCCGGACCTTGCACTGACAGACTTTTACTTTTTCCAAAGTATTCATATTCTTGGCAGGGAAAAAAATCAATACCCAAGAGGTTGTGCACATTGTCTTTCAAGAGTTCGTTGGCTCTCGTACACCTGATTTCTTTAAGGAGGGCATTAAAAAATACCAATGCGCGCATAGAGATGCATCGATACCATGGCTGCATATTTTAATTAAGAGAAATAAAAAAATAAAAAGAATGACTAGCTTTTTGTGTACTTAACGGCAATTTAGTAGGTAAAGGCCAAATACCACACAAGGTAACATAAAGTTTCAAAGAAAATGATATGATTTTAAAAAAGAGCGTTTATCTTGATAGCAACATTTATTCAAGTCATTCTAATATGCCATAATTCTTATAAATAAAATCCAGCATTTGTTTTCTGATTAATGAAGTTGAATGATTTTTATCAATTTTGCTTCTATTTGCCCAAGAGTATCGTGCTGCTTTATTGCGAGATGTTTAACTCTCGATACTAGGTGAATTTTTTAGTTGTACTGTGAACCAAATCTACTGTACCCAACGTAAAGTTTATTTACGAGTTCACCTATTCACACAATTCTATTAGTGTTCCTGATTAGCGTGGGCGATTGGCAGCGTAGACTATTAAAAGAAATCACGTCTTCACGCAGTACATTTCATGCACGGGCCATTAGAATGAATGTTGGTTTTCAATCAATGAAGTTATTCATATCTTCGATACATTCTGCCGTAAAGAATCAAGTTCTAAATTTAGATATTTCAATTTGCTTGTTAAAACGTGGTATCCGAAGTAAAGTACGCTTTAGATGTTGATGCGTAGGCATGTGGGTTTGATGTAAACTAATGCGGTGTTAATATCCTCATTTTGGTTTCAACAATGACGTTATAACATAATTAAATCGTTTAAATAGATAGATAGTAGACTTACAACTTAAGATGCTCTTGCTACTTAAGATGCTACATAAGATGCTCTTGCTACTCAAGATGCTACCTAAGATGCTCTTTTTAGCACAAGCAGGTAAACGAGTTAGTCTTAAGTGCTTACGAGAGCCGAAAATAACAAAAAAAGCTGAAAGTGGCTGCCCACCTTGCGACATAACATCTCAATTGTATTGTACAACAATTATCTCACTCATCAAACTGGAACTCATAATTATTTCGGAATAGACACGAGTAATAGAGTAGTACTTGCCCGTGCATATATGTATTACGTCCTAAAATTCGGATTTCAATTTGTTTCGTCATGAATTACTAAACAAAACCAATAACTATTGTTACGCGGTGGGTTCTGTATAAATAAAAATTCTACCGAAGTACAAATTAAAATCTATTTAACAGTTAAAACACTAAACGAACACTTTACAATTCTCAGTTAACTTCTTCCGTTTCACTTCAGGTGATCCGTTCGCTGATTCGCTTCGAGATGTTTCGATTACTAACTGCCTTCATGTCAGTCGATACGACATCCCTAGAATTATGAAGAACATTCCTGACAGGTCGAGTGGTTTCGATATGTGTTTCCGGTATTTGATAATAGATGCCGTTGTACTTCTTACTAGTTCTTTCGTTTCTGCTATTCAACGATAGATGGCGTTGCTCTTACCGGCGTAACAGTATTAATAATTTACTATCCATTGTACTTATCATTGCCTGATGGTAATACAATAAGAACCCACTTATTTAACAGTTTCTTTACACGATTATTAAGTTTCATAATTATGTTTTCGATATTATGTACATACGCGTGAAGTTTTAAAGGCTACAGTGGAAGAGGTAGGCGTAAGAAAAAATGGATGGATTGCGTGAAAGACGATATATGTAAGAGGGGAGTGAGCGAAGAAATTGTATATGATAGAAGAGTATGGAAGGAGCAAACATGTTGCGCCGACCCCAGGTAACTGAAAGAAGGGCAGGAGAATGATACGATGCGCGAAGTTTTATGGCAACACAGTAATAACTAACACAAGATAATATAAAATGCACTAAGTGTAATGGGCTGTCTTATCGTTCACTAACATGTGATAAGAGCTTTCACTTAAAACAAGTAATGGGAACGCAGAAATACTGAATTTTTTGTTTAAGTAATATTTTAATGTATATATTTTCTAAATCTATATGATAACTACATCTTATATCATCTTCTTAGTCAGCATCCTTTTTATCTTCAGTTGGTGACGGGTTTCCTATTATATTATTATTATTTTGTTAAGAGCTTCTATCGAGTTTTCGTATTATGAAAAAAGTCGGGAATTACTAAGATTTTTCCACGCCTTTACAGGAAAAAAATGCTAGTTGCAAATGAAAATAGAAAATGGAATAGAAAGCATGTATTTAAATTTCGAAGTGTTCTTGATTATGGTCAGATTTCCAATATTGTAAAATAAATATTAGATATAAATCTATATATATAAAAATGAATTGCTGTTCGTTAGTCTCGCTAAAACTCGAGAACGGCTGGACCGATTTGGCAAATTTTGGTCTTGAATTATTTGTGAAAGTCCAGGGAAGGTTTAAAAGGTAGATAAATATGAAAATTCCCGGAATTAAATAAAAATAACAATTTTGTTTTTCCTTTGATGTGTCCCCCTCGGAAGGAATCATTTTGTTTGTTTTAAGTTTATTAAATCAAAAGATTATGTCTTTTATTTATCGATTGAGGCACTACAAAGTCTGCCGGGTCAGCTAGTATTATTTAAAATTTGAGATGATTTCTTGCAATTGATTTACGTTTAAACATTCAATCGTATCATGATGAATAGTTACCGTCTTCCCGAGACCAAGAGTTCATTGCTTTAGGAGAGGCTTCGATGTAGCACTGCAATTCCACGTCGCTTCCCAGCGGAGCTCCCACCAGTTGGTTCGTCACTTTCACTTGTGGTATAACTATTGAAAGCACATGAAGAAAAGAAAAACTTTACCTAAAAGTTCAGCTATTCACGGATGATTACAAAATGACACAAAGATTTGCTGACTTTTAAAAAAAATTTGAAGCAATGATTGATTATGAATAATTAAAAAAAAATCGTTTTGTTTCTCAAAGATGGATGGATGGTCATGAGACTTTGATATTATTCTGAAGATACGAGCTTCGGTAAACGCATAACATTGAATGGACCACGACTGGTGGTAGGACCTCTTGTGAGTGCGCAGGGGAAGGTACCACCACCCCGCCTATTTCTGCCGTGAAGCAGTAATGTGTTTCAGTTTGAAGGGCGGGGCAGCCGTTGTAGCTATACTGAGACCTCAGAACTTATATCTCAAGGTGGGTGGCGCATTTACGTTGTAGATTTCTATGGGCTCCAGTAACCACTTAACACCAGGTGGGCTGTGAGCTCGTCCACCCATCTAAGCAACAAAAAAATAAGACTAAAATACCTAGTTCGTTCACCTAAGATGCTCTTATTAAAATATTTTTAATTAAATTTCATTAGGAAATTCTCATGGTTATTTATATAATCTACAAGGATAGTAAAGTATAAAAATTGAACATGCACTAGCAATAAATTATCTTCCTCGCGGTGAATATTGAACATAACTTACAATGAACTTCGACTTGGTAACGGCGGCTGACAGTGGGCGGGACCCCGTTGCTTGCGATGCAGTAATAAGTTCCCATGTCGTTTCTTTGCACGTGGGACAATTCGAGGCTCTCACCTCTATAACTTTCCACCACTGAAATAAAATAAAACCTTCAACAAAGATTTTATAGACGAAGATTTTATAGATTTAGTGAAACGGAACGTTAAAATTAAAATTAGGTAAATATTATCGTGTAATGTTTGACTCGTACCATCACGTTTCAAGAACATGGATCCTGAATAATATACACCGTACCTACTTCACAAATACAAAGGGTTGAAAAACGAACATACGGAAATAAACCATGTGAGAATATTTTATGCGTTAAAAGGCCTCTGGGATCAGTCGTTCTGCGTACAACCGAATCCACTTACATTGTTCCATTTTTAAAGCCCTATAGACAACCGCTTAAAAAAAAGAAATACTCCTCACCGAATCCAATAAACTGTTTAATACGTTCGTACAAGTGAAGTGCGTCTCGTTATATCTATATATTAATACGTGAAACAAAAACTTTGTATCCCTTTTTACGAAAATACATTAAATAAATAAAGAAAACATTACAGACACTACATACCATGTATTTGACGCACACACGCATTCATACTATTTATTGTCAAACTTTTGTTCTTGACGTCTGTTGTCAAATTGAGAATAGATTAAATATTGTTTGTCTTTGTTAATATTTTTTATAATGTAGTCTTGGCGAAATTTGTGATTATAGAAGTATAAAATACAATCATAATAGTGTACAAACTTACAATTCCAATTAATTATAGTCGAATTTCGACTACTGCGGGACCTCTNTATTTATTGTCAAACTTTTGTTCTTGACGTCTGTTGTCAAATTGAGAATAGATTAAATATTGTTTGTCTTTGTTAATATTTTTTATAATGTAGTCTTGGCGAAATTTGTGATTATAGAAGTATAAAATACAATCATAATAGTGTACAAACTTACAATTCCAATTAATTATAGTCGAATTTCGACTACTGCGGGACCTCTAGTATTATTTGTTTCATAGTAGTAGCGTTTCAAGCGGCGAAACTTTATTTGAAATTCATTGAGAGAGTAAAACAGTGAAAAAAGAACGTTTAAAATCTGAATTCTTTTTATGAGCGAAACTGCGATAAAAGTTAAGCTATGCAATCCTTTGATGATGAGCTTCCACTGACATGCTCATTGAAATAAAAAAAGTTAGCGAGGATTTTTTCTGGCGTCGCTTTTCGGAGTAATTATGTTCTTTCAAGCAAACAGCTTTGAGCTAAAAGTATAGTATTTATTTCATCTTTATTAACTAATATCCTTAACTCCGTTATTGCAGATCTCTTAAGAGTCACTGGGGTTTTTTAAATATGATTACTAGATGATGACCGAGTTTTGCTCGTTTTTTTTTTGATAACGCCATCTTGTTTTGTCTTTAAAACGTTTAGTTGCCCTCAATTAGGAAAAATAGTATTATTATTCGCCAATAGATGTCGGGAAGAGTTGATTATTGAAAACACGAATAAAACAACATTTTCCGAAAATAAATCGTAGCTAGATCGATTTATCGCCCCCGAAATCCCCTGTGTACTAAATTTTATGAAAATCGTTGGAGCCGTTTCCGAGATTCAGATTATATCAGTATGTATTAATATACAAGAATTGCTCGTTTAAAGGTATAAGACAAATATAACATAGTGCTTTGATATATATGTATTTTGAAAAGACTGAGTTCACTTTTCAAGCGAAGTATTTAGGTAAGCTGAACGCTATTTGTATGTGGTGTTTTTTCTAACTTTATTTCCTCGAAATCCGTAGCAATTGAAGTGCGAAAAAAAGATTCCAACGTCACTAGAGAGGAGACGAAGCGTCGACGTGGAGCGCGGTATTTTCTCGTTTCACGGAAATATCGTCCGTTCTGAAATCGTTTTGAGTATAAAATCTTTTATTATGCGAACACGGTTCATTTAACGCGGCATTAAGTGAATTTGTCGAACATCGTATTTTAAAAATGAACGGGTAAGCAGAGCAGTAAAATACGTACTGCCGGCACTGGGAGAAAATTGCGAGTCGCCGCCCTGGTATTGTGTTTAAGTTCTTTTCAGCGCAGTTTGCCGATAATTTATTAAACTTACGTACTCTATAATCAACATCGTCACATTTAAGCAATATAAATTTTACTTTAAACATAATCGAAGCGATCACAGTACGAGGCTTGAATGAGTTGTTCTCCTTATCGCATGTCGGAGACGACACTTGAATTTTGTTGTAATTTTGATTTGCTCATTTCATACAACGCGAAATGTTAAAAAGGTCTTTATTATTAAGTCTTCTGTAACTGACATTTTAATCCGGAGCGGCGGCCGGTTCTGTCGGCTATTAAAAGTCCTACGTGATCGAAATAACGAATTGCATTAACAAAATTTTGTATTTTCCTAAAATAAAAATCAGAGATTACGAAAACCAGACGCGGCTGTGCTACTCCTATTCACTGATATAAATATTATTTGACTGTATTTTGATTCAAAGAACAGTGATAATAAAGCTGTACAATTATGTGATTTAGCTGAATAAGTGTCTGGCAGGTTAGCCGAATAAGTGTCTGGTACGCTCCGATTTCAATTTAAATAGGGCTTAGTTTAAAACTAATTTGGATCGAGTAAATTTTACAAGACCAAACATTCCATTTGATAAACTGAGGGCACTATTTCAATTTGCACGCCTAAGCCTCGAATCTTCTTTAACAATGTCCTTACTTTCGTTTTAAAGCTCAAACAAAAAAGTAATTAAGGACTCTCGGTCCCAACGTTAAATAAATCGAAACGACTGAACAGTGAATATCGGTTTGTATAGTACTCCGCCCGAGGTTGAGGTTTGAAAGGCTGATTAGTAAACGTTGACTGAGATTATGAGAAATAAATGTTGGTTCTTCAATTGCTTATTTATTCAATTGAGATTGAATTCGATTATATTGTTTTATTACCAGGATCTATAGATCCAAAAATGGGAACAGAATTTTTCGTTGTCGGGTGTCGTGGGGCAACTCACGTTTAAGTCGAGGAAAAAATTAGTAAAACCCCATCTCGACATATGTAAGAGTTCTTTGGGACTTAAATAGGCAAAGCCACCAGGCGTTAGCATCAACATGTGTAAGTGGGACATAAATACTCAAGATGCTCTACGAGATTGCTCCGATTCACAAGTCTTAACAATTAATTGAACATCTTAATAAATAGTTATAGTACAATTATAATTTTTTTGTTTCAACTTATTGAAAATTAAAAATTTATAAAAAAGACTAAAAATTTTTTTTTTTTTTTGATGATTTGATGAGTTGAAATAAGTAATTCTTTTATTTTTAAATCACGACAAACTAACAAGTATTAATTTTACCGTTCACGAACAAAAGATGACAAATACGAAAACAAAGGTGAACGAACTCGTCAAAGATGCAGTAAATCAAAATGAATACCCGTATATTACAATGAAATGACAATAATTGAGACAGTTGTGTCAAAGTCACTAAACGATAACCATAACGCATTCATTACATGCAGTTCCATTTTGTCTTTGTTTTCTTAATTTTTAAAACTCATTAACAACTTTGTATTCAAGTAAAAGTGCAAGCAAATTATTTTCAAGCAAACAAAGTCTTCTAGTGTATAAATGTTGATGTCCATTTTACTGATGCTAATAAAAAATGATTATGATAAGGTTACCTACTATTGTCTTAAATAGCATTTATCTAATTTTTTGTAACATATATCGCGACCAGAAGAATTAGATTACTATGACCTATTATGATTATTATTATCAGCAATTACACAAAAAAATATCTTTAAAATAGCTGACCGATACCAATTAAATCGGAACCCAGGATTTCCTCACGGTAGAAATCGGTTAAACGGTTATTGTACTAACACGCCAAAAACATCTTATAGCAGATAGACTATGTTGGAGAATATAATGAAAGTACTACGACCGAATTCACTGGTGGTAGGATCTCTTGTGAGTCCGCGCGGGTAGGTACCACCACCCTGCATATTCCTGCCGTGAAGCAGTAATGCGTTTCGGTTTGAAGGGTGGGGCAGCCGTTGTAACTATACTTGAGACCTTAGAACTCATATCTCAAGGTGGGTGGCGCATTTACGTCTTAGATGTCTATGGGCTCCAGTAACCACTTAACACCAAGTAGGCTGTAAGCTCGTCCACCCATCTAAGCAATAAAAAAAAAGAACAGTTTCAAAGTAGTACTTTAAACAATTCTAGAATGGGGCCGATCTAATATCTTTAGATTGACAGACTATAACGTGATTTATTCTAGCCAGTTATAATTGTAGAATATTTCAGATATATTTAGCTGATAAGAATAGAATAATATATATTAATATATATTATATAATATATATTATTCTAACTACTAACTTTATTAACAAGTAGGTGAGCTCACGGGGCTCATACCTGACGTTGTTGCTAACACTAACCCTACAGTGCTTCGCAGACTCTACCATCGGATTGGAAACGCGGCCCTAGGAGAAGATCTGGCGAGAAACTCAGTAGGCTGTGTCTGTGGATTAATTTACTCGCCGAGCTCTTCGTCGCAAACGACGGGTTCGACGAGAACGATGACCGGTATTTTGTGCGACAATAGTCACTAGTATTCATACTAGAAAGTGGGGGTAGCTTAGTCATGAATTCTCTTGAATACCGTTTTAAGCAGTTGACTTGCGTAATATTTAGGAAACAGTTAAGTTTAACTATTTTTAGCTAAATACTAAATAGTGGCCCTTGCCCCGACATATACTTATGTATATATTTATAAGGTTAAGGAAGCGGTCACATAAAATGTTAATATTCCTGCATAGATCTTGCATAATACATTTCAACCCTTTCGAAGAGCTCCACGCATGAAATGAATTATTGTTAGAAATCCGAGCGTAGGGCGATGTATTTCTCCGATATCGCGACTCTGGTTATGACATTATTAAAGTAGATGGAATCGACTCGATGACGTTAAAAAAATACGTGATCACTTTTCGCGATTGGCAACGCACTAAAGTAATGCCCTCGAAATTTAAGGCCAGCATTGACAGACTGGAATATATTA